AGTCGTTCGGAAGATAAACGGTCCAAAAGGTTGTTATCTCAACAAACAGCTACCTGTGTTACCTAAAAATTGCAGTTTTTCTTCCAAACAACCGTTTATCTCCCAAACAAATACGAGAATAACGTTGAGATTTTATATTCGTAATATCTACTTGTCCTAAATTTCAAATCGATGTATTATTTATTGAAATATTCAAATTTTTACAAAATCCTATGGAAACTTGCCTGCACTCCTTGAGAATTGGAGTTAGAATCTAACTACGGAAACCGTGGCTGGGAAAATTTGGAGAAATTTCTAGGCAGGAAGTTATGTCCATAGATAATAGTATCTGGACGATGCTATAAGATAAGATGAGAGTCAAAATCGGAAATAATATAATAAACAGAATAAATGATGAAAGATACGGATAGAGAGAAAGTGAAACAAGATGTAATGATAATGTATAACTTTCCTCCGCGAACGATTCCGTTGAACGTGGGCCATGTGCCGGGTAACGTATTCCAAAGAGCGAGACGGCGCGTTTCGGATTCGAGGTCGGCGCGATGGAAAGTTCATCGGCAAATCGAGAAGTTCACGAACGCGCGGAAATACTTTCTCCATCTCCTTGGGGACGCACGAGCGCGGAAAGGGAGAGTAAAGCGACTTGGAGAAATCGACAAAAGCCCGAAATATAAAAGCCCGAAACGGAGCGGTCGGAGTCGGAGGCGCGTACGAGATGGAGCTCGAGTTAAGCCGGGATTGTAAACGAGAAATTAAAGTACGCCTTGGGAGGCAGAAACAGAAGGGTGACACAAAGACGAGGGAAGGCGCCTTCTCCGAAGACGCGCGGGGTGGCTTTGGGGTAGGATTGCGTGCACGCGTTTGCGCGCTTGCATACTCGCTAATAAAATTGCGGAAAATGCAGCAAATTGAAAAAGTTAATGCGTAAAGCTCCAACGGTAGTGGCGAAACACGGCCTAATTATTGCAACGTCGTTCGCAGTCTAATTATCGCGCGAAAATCTGTCATTTTCAGCGTGTGCATAATTTAACAGAAGCGCGCTCATAAATGTTTCGCTGTTTGTCACGTGACATCGTCCTTACCGACGTTATTATTATTATTAAATATTTGGGACGTAATTTCTTTTTTTACAAAAAATAATTTTACATATAGAGGCACTTGAGTGAAATACAAAAATAATGACGTACAGTAAAAATTCACATTCAAAAAGAAAAGGTTAATTAGTTTGTTTCTGAATATGCTGTGTACAGCAAAAATATGCTGACGTATTAAAAAAAATCTACACTGAGAGAAAGAAATATCGAAGAAATAAAAATATTTATTTGCTGGACATTATAATAACATATTTGTTAAAAAAAATAAAAATATATATCTACAAGGGTATCTACAGGTCTCTTAGATTTTTTCTCCGCAATGTAGAACTGATTGAGATAAATATAAAAGTCTCATACCGTTTTGCAATATTCGCAATGAATCTCGAAATATTAATTAAAGAAGATTAGGGAATGATCACGCGCAATATGGTAAATAAGCCGTAGTAGCTGTTGTGTGCTTGTATATAAGGCCAAACTGAGCAAAAAACTTTATCATTTTGCAAATAACCACGTGGATTTTTTGTTATTAATAAAAGAAGATTGTTATATGATTAAGCGTGATAATGCATAAATCTTCTTTAATTGATCCGTTTTACGTTTCCACGAACGTTGCGGAAACAAAGCTGGGACACCTTGTATATAGTACTACACTGTAAAAAATCTTGCGTACACAATACATAAACAAATGTTCCAAAAAGTCCATTCTAAATTTTGTATCGAAAATAACTCATTCATATGTTTATTCGTGTGTTATTTACATGTACTAGTCTATACATAATGTAAATAATACACGAACGAACATGTGAATGAGTTGTTTTCGACACAAAATTTTTGGAACATTTCTTTACGTACTGTGTACGCAAGATTTTTTACAGTTTAATAAAATATTTCTCAAATAAGAAAATACGTATTTTCATAAAACATTATAGTTTTTCATGAAAGCAATTGTTCATTCTACTTGAATAAAAGAATTTAGATTTAAGGAAATGTGTTATAGCACCTACTGAACAAATATTTCCTATTTTTTCTCTCAGTATATATATGCTTTTATCCTTGGATATCTTTAAATAACGAAGAATCGTTTTGATAAATGGTTATTTTCTAATAATGCAAGAAAATTACACTTCTAATAAATTCTGCCTTCAAAAATCCCCAAGTTCGGATTTTTTGGAAATTGATAGTGACGGCTCGAATTAATCTCTTCGTCATATCTCAGAGCCACTCATTCTTAAGCCGCCACTGGTTTCCCACAGGGACGAAGTGGTTTTCCTCGGCGATGGCGAAAGCTCTCACGTGCGCGAGCAAGTGAACGAGCCACGCGACTATGCAAATGTATATTCGCCGGGCTCGTAAGGTAAACACGCTTTTTCCACGTCCGCCGCACCCTCCATCCCGGGGCGAAGACAAATATCCGCGCGACGGACCTTTTCGTCGCTCCCCGCACGGCGACAAAACAAATTTTTCAATTTTGACGTTTCCGTGGGAATCGCGCGAGTCCGATGGAAACGCCCGAAAGAGCGGGGGAGGCTCGCTCGACGCTTAACCTGATAAATCCCGATGATTTATACCGCCCGCGGTGGCGGTGGCTCAAACGTTAGTAATGTTACTATGAATATTTAACGCTGCCGCGCGCGTTACATACAGCCGAGAGTCTAAATACAGGTCTTAAATCCACAATCCGCGAATTTGTCGTCGAGACAATAATTTCGCAAACAGAAACCCGAGCAGAAATTTAACACTTTGTCGATTGTGTTGAAATTCTCAACTGTGATTATCCAATCTACTTGCTCTGCTCGAATCTTACTGTTTACATTTTTTGTGTATCATGATCCTCATGTTAATGTTTATCAAGTTTATATACTAAGAGAAAAAATATCTAAGAAATATACCAAATATTTTTACTCGATAAGTACTAGTAATATATTTGCTTATATTAATATAAAATATATTTTAAATAAGAAAATATACATTTTTTTTTAAACTCTAGTTTCTCATGAAAACCACTATTTATTCTATTTAAAAAAAAGATCTAAATAAAAGATTCTGTCCAAATAAAATAATTTAGATTTAAGTAAATATGTTATTATAGTATCTATATTTTGACAAAATACTTTTTATTCCTCAGATATTTTTCTCTCAGTGCACCTATTTGCTTATTTAATAACAAATGATGAAACGGGTAGATCTGTAATTCGAAGGGTTGGCAATATGTTAAGATAAATTATCCAGCGCCCATTATACGAGCGCCCATTATCATTTTCGGATGCACAACTGCGCCGTCCGGGATCGCTGCCAGGCCCGTATTCGGTAACGAAGAAGATTGAACGATTTATTAGACGAGCGCGTAATAATCCCGGAACGTACTTATCTGAAATCCCCATTCGTGTTCCAGAAAGATAATAACTTTCGTTTCGGATAAACGCGACTCTCTCGCGCACGACCGACTGCAAATACAGCGCGCGCGCGTTTTTTTCTTTTCGCCGCACAGAAGAGTAAATATCCTGGTTGACTTCCTCTGCCGCTTCCCCTTTGTCCTGGACGATCTCATATACGACGGACATAGCGGACAAGCTGGCTTCCCGTAATAACTCTTCGTCGTCAACGTCGTCACCGCATCGTGGTTGTCGTCATCGTCGTCGTCGTCGTCGTCGTCGTCGTCGTCGTCGTTATCGTCGTCGTAGCTATCGACGGCGCTATATCGAGCGTCGTCGGGGCACAATAACCTCGACACGTTCGCCAGGTTCTTTATCCTTCCGGTTATTGAGTCGCGCGAGTCGACACGACGACTTCACCGACGAGTGTCGGGTACTTTCCGCCGCGCAAAGTCGTCCTTACGATCCATTGTCAATTGAAAGACTCGACGGGGAAACGGCGCGGGGAATTTATACGAGTAGAGACCGAGGCAATGGTGAAATAACGACGAAAGTAGTAATAAGCAGAAAGTAAAGGGAAATGAAAAAAAAGACGAGTCATCGGTGAGCTGAAAAATGAGAACGTCGCTGAAGACACCGTCAGCGTAGAAATTTTCCCTGAGACTTTTTCAGATAAGCGCGCAGATCTCGATATTAGTACTCAAATTTGCCCTAAAATTAGTTATTTCGTTTTATTTCATTATAACACTGAGAAAAAAATTTACTAAATTTAAAAAAATGTTTGTATAGTACTGTGAAGATATTTGTTTAAATTAAGTAATTATTTTCTAAAATTAAAGAAACAAATTTATATTTAAAACTTCTTTATTTAATTTTAGAAAATAATTATTTAATTTAAACAGATATCTTCACAGTACTGCCCAAACAAATGTTTTTTGAAATTTAGTAAATTTTTTCTCAGTGTATTATTTAAGAGGAAAAGACAAGATCTCTCTCTCTTATTAAAAACACAATATGAAACTATGCATATCAAAGGCTCTGAGGTGTACAACTTAATTTAAAGAAAGATAAACCTAGATAATAAATATTTTATTCGCACTAACGTCCTCTTATAGGCCTCATTTTCTCTCAATTTAAATTGTAATACAGAAATTCATTTTTTCGACTATGATATTAATTAGGAATGCCCAGCAGGAATTTTTATCTCGAGTTAGACCAGAAATAATGTGGGGAAACTCTCGTCTTCTTTTAGTAAATAATAGCGAATATTTTTGTAGGATCAAATGAGGAATTTTATTTTTATATCAATGTTTGTGCGTTTCGATGCAACCCGATTATGCGACCGTGTTCGGAACGTGATAGATAGCTTATTCCGTCAAAGTGTTTAGTTCGCGATCTCGCGAGCTGTTCGGAAGTTGCCGTCGCCGTCATCCTCGAGGGAGGGAAAGAAGCAGACGCGAAAAGTTAGAGAGATCTGAAATTCGAAGAAGTGCTCGAAAATGGCTCTCTCTCTCTCTCATACATACATACTCACCTGTCATGGGCCGCCTCCTCCAGACAAGTGATGACAAGCTCGAAGTCGTTGAGCTTCTTCTTGCCGAGCACGCTCTTTAGGTGGCCAGCCAATCGCTGCGCCTCGTCCGCCGGGAACTCTTGTCCCAAGAGAGACGTGATCCTGACGAGTTTGACGCTCTCGTTACCGGCGAGCGCGTCGAAGAAGTCGTCGAGATAACATAGATCGGATCCTCTCTCCACCTGGAACACTACCTCGAGCGCCTCCAGCGTGCAAGCGGCGCTCTCTAAGATCCTCGCCCAGCCCTCCAGCTCGAGGGGTGACGTGTGCACCAACGGTGCCGGCGGTCTCTCGCTTGGCGCGGGCCCGAAACCGGGTCCAGCGCCGACTAGCCGGCAAACCGCGGAAATGTTGCCGTCGGACGCGCCGGCGGCCTTCAGCAACGAGAACACAGCTCTGGGTGGTACTTCCAGCGGGCACAGTTGGTTCAGTATCAAATGGGTCTTGGGGCCCAACAGGCCGGCCAAGTGGCCAATGATGCCGGACGGCAGGCCCTCTAACTCGCGGCGAAGGATATTGGCGTACTGCGCGACTGAAGTGAGGTAGTACGCCGCCAAGAACTCGGCCACCGCCATGTGAATTGGCGTGTAGAGGTCCGCCTTGCGTCTCTGGCCAAAGGTCAAACCCCGCATCAGGAAACCGAGTCGGGTGACCTCGATACCGCCACCGCGCGCCCTCAGCTCTGCCTCGGTGTAACAGCACCTGCCCTCCCTGAGCGCAGCCAGGGCCACCTTGCCGAAGTCCTCGAGACGCTTCCTGCAGTGGCCCGGAATCTCCTCGTTATACGGAATCGGCGGGTCTAGGCTCCTCTTAACGATGCACTTCACCGCGGCTTGTACGAGGGCGCTTGTCTCGGTCGGCAGGCTACCGGAGTCCTGGTGAAAGAAGGATGTTCTTGTGAGCGGCGTCACGTTTTTTTACGGAGTGTCTCGTGACGCGTTCTATTGTTGCGCGTTGTGTTGTCCGTTGATATCGTGCAGACTCTGAATTTCTCAGAGTAAAATCTCATCAAAAACGAGGGAAAATTAAGCTGAGAGCGATGTGAAAATATTGTCATTCGGAATTATAAGAATGGATGTTTCAATTAAATTTAGGCTAGATATTTTTCTCCTATAGGAGTAAATATTTCAATCAGATAGAATAGATTTTTTTTCTATGGGACATTTAATTCGTTCTTTTTCAGTGGAGTAGATTAGATTGATTCTTTAATCTCGAATGAGAATATCTCTCGACATTTTAGAGTGAAGAATTCGCTCTAAATACCTAAAAGTCGCTCAAATTCGAATGGCTAGACTGTCATTCTATTCTTTGAGTGGAACTCAAAGAAATTTGAAGTGCATTAATCAGCAGAACAGCCTTGATAAATGCAATGTAATTAGGTTATTGGTATTTTATAACTGCATACATTTGTTTCTGGACATTAACGTTCAGTTGTCACAATGACAAATTACTAATGCGACACATCGTTTCCACTTCTGCGAGCAAACCAATAACTAATAGATCAGTAATGCGTATGATTAGAAAATTCCAATAATTTACTTGTATCGCGTGTTAAGGCTATTCTCTGTTAGTTAGTGCACGTGATTGTACGTGTATGAGAAACTCGTTATATAGACGCGCGAGCAATGAAGGTGACTCGTTCACGGTCGCTGCGCGATTTAGTTAAATTGATTATCAAGCTAATATTCTGCGCAAGCGCGCGAACACTGGGTAATTCCCGCGTGCTATACGCTCAGTGAATTAATTATTTCGTGTACCGTGTACATATACACGCATACATATGTGTATGCGTTAACCGAATCGGTTATATTATATCGAGCGGTATTAATTTGCACGTGATAGAGATTCGCGGACACGCCGATCGCATTTCCCAGTATTTTTCCCTCGTGTCGCGGCTAATCCACGGATTAATCTTAAAAACAAAATATCGTGCGTTTAATTTTCTTGAAACTGTTTCGCAATTTAAATTTCCGCGTTTTTTTCGTTATGAGACATAAGCATCATCGTGTGAATATCTGGACAGAGGTCTTACTTGGTACAAGCAGCAGAGCATGATCCAGCCGAGCGGATGCTGACCGAGCTGCCTGATGGACTGCGGCTGCACGTTCAGCTCCTCAAGGAACTCGCAGGCCTTCTCGGCGATGTCGTTGTGAATAAAGTAGGCCACGCAGAGCCGCTCCACGTGCTGCCACTCGAGGCCGGCCAGGTGAATCCTGCGCTGCACCAACGGCGAAAGCGCGGTGGAGTTGTTAGGCGAGCAAGTGACCAGGATCCTGGCATCCGGCAACAATCGGCCTTCTAAGAGGTCGGCCGCGTCGCCGAGAGATGCCCTGCCGCCCACGCACTCGTCATAGCCGTCTAAGACAAAGAGTACGCGGTTTTCCATGAGGTGTAGGGTGCGCCACACATGTGAAACAGCATCGCCCAACGCAGCCGTTCTTGGAAACAGTTCTCGCGCTAGGTAGTTGAGCACAGGGCTGCCGCGAAGCTCGCGTAGAGGAACGATGAAGGCCAAAGCGGGACCGTCGCTCTGGGTCGCCCACTGGTGCAGTAGTCGCAGACAGAGGGTGGTGCGGCCGCTCCCGGGGCCACCCTCGATGGCGACACGTCGGGGCGCTTCCGACACGGTGCCATCGCTCAACTGGAAATCGTAATTCGTTCTCAAGTGAGTGGCATGTAATGCTGACGAATGGAACAGCACACATACACACACAGGACGTCGCATTTGCGGTGATAAGCGCAACGATGACTTGTCCATTAAACACACGGAAAAAAAGGTTTGGTTGAATTAACCAAATATCTGGCCGAATATGAATGATCCAGAAATTTCAATTGAAGTAACTCGAATTCTATTTAAGTTAACAAAATTTTTGGTTGATTTAAACAGAATTCGGGTTACTTCAATCAGAATTTCTGGATCGTTCATATTCGATCCAGAATATTTGGTTAATTCAACCAAATCTTTTTTTGTGCAGATTTTATAGAAAATATATGTATATAAAATAGCACAGGATAATAAATTAAAGCAGATTGCCGATATTCTTCAATTAAGCAATTCTATTGTAACTTTTACTATAAAAATCTCTGCGTGTAAGTAAACACAGAGACAACTCGTCACATGTACACGGAGAAAATATTGTAGCAAAAATTACAACAAAATTGTCAGACTTGTAGGATGTTTGTATCATGCGTCTTGATTGTGATCTGTTAGGTTTTAAAGGGATGCCGAAAACTTTACCGACATAACATTGACTTTTTCTGCAAAGTTTACGTCTTGTTATTTGCACAGAATTACAAACGCTTTTACACAACAGAAGTGCATGCAAAAATTAATTGGAGCATTGCTCAATATGTGACGAAAACGAAAAAAAAAAGTTTAAATTTAAATTTTGAGCTGTCAGTTAGTGCAATATTTGTTTAATACAAACATTCTGCAGGTCGTAGATACCGAAACTGTGGATACTTTAATTAGGAAAATTTCAAAGATCACTATTACACTTTCAGAATTTAGTTTCGATGCCAAAAAAAATACGAAAAGTTTGCAGAAAAGTTTGATTACATGTGGTTAGTTTTTCTGACAACTATGATAAAGTAGAGCGAAAAATTAGTTTACGGATATTTTTCGAGATGGCACCATACTTTGTCGCACTTTTCACAACGTCCGAATATTTCGAGTGGATATATATATATATATATATATATATATATATATATATATATATGTATGTATGTATATAGTTTCCCACGCAACTGTTTATCGCAACGATGATAATAACTGAACAAAGACGAAGAAATCGTAAAGAAATCGTTGTAACGACACGCCCGAGTTGCTTTCCTATGCGTAATAGCAATAATTAAATAATAACCGAATAAATTAAATAATAATCGAATAAAGAAATAATAATACTCAAGTATTAAATAGTAGTGATAATAATATCTACTCGACAATCGTGTGATAATATTCGCGAGTGGAAAATAACGGAATGACGATGATCGAATAATCGGTAATAACAATACCTAGGTAACGGTTGTAACAAAAACTCTAGGCTTCACAAAGGCTAAGTGAACGGCCGGCTCGTGCCGCTGACTAAACAGCGTTTGGGAGGCCGCGCGGTCGGCTCATGTAAACACGCGTGCGTAAGCACGTGCTCGAGCGTTACACCACAACACTCTCAACCGTCGAGGCGAACGCATTGGGAGTTGCCGCGTTATTTTCTAGATTATTCCGCGCTGATTTTTAATACCGCGTTTTGACTCCGCGACAATTAAGACACCTCAAGACGCTTACTCTTCACGCGAGCAGGTGTTGCGGGCTTTACCGTGTAATACAGGTAATTACCGCGTTTCCTTTTTATTTGTCAGTAAGAGAAACGTCACGATCGAGTTCCTCAATACCAATCAAATATTATCATCTATTTAATATTCGAGTATTATTATTTTTTTATTTTATTATTATTTAATTTATTCGGTTATTATTTAATTATTGCTATTACGCTATAAGAAAGTAACTCGGGCGTGCCGTTATGACAATTTCTTTACCTCGTCTTTAATCAGTTATTATTGCTGTTGTCCAGTTATTGTTATTCATTGTTAACGATAATAACGAAATAATGATGATCGAATAATCGGTAATACCTGGATAATGCTCTAACCAAAATTCTAGGCTCCACAAAGGCTAGGTAAACCGATCGTCGTGACGGTTGCTCGGGTTGTTGACTGAGCGGCGCTGGGAGGGGGGAGGGGCGGCCAGGCCATGACACCATAACGCTATCAGCCGCCGAGGCGAACGCATCGCGGGAGCTGCCGCGTTATTTTCTAAATTATTTCGCGCCGATTTTTGATACCGCATTTTTACTTCACCACAATTAAGGCAATAATTAACACAATTTGAGACGCATATTTATCACGCGAGCAGATGTTATGGGCTTTACCGCAGCGGGTAATTACCGCGTTTCATTTACTTTTTTATTTATTAGATAAAGAAACGCCGTGATCGAGTTCCTCAATGCCGATTAAATATTATCATCATCCATTTATTATTCGAGTATTATTATTTCTTTATATAGTAGTCATTTAACTATTTTAATTACGTATTGGGAAGTAACTCGAGCGTGCTGTTACCACGATTTCCTTACTTCGTCTTGCTGTCGTGTGTAATTAATTGATATTACCGGATATTATTATACGGTTGTCGATCAGACATTATTATCATCGCTTTATAATTAATCGAGAATTATTACTTCTTTATTCGGCTATCGTTTAATTATTTTTTATTAGGAAGGAATTCGAACGTGCCGTTATAATTTTTCTTCATCATCTTGCTGTCGCGTATAACTATTTGATATTAATTTATTAAATCACTAATTGATATTCAATTAAATTTCTGTCACATAGATCTAATAGAGAAGACGCAGTTACGTGGCTCTAGAAGATGTGATGCCTGGGACATGCCGCGCCGGAGAATCCGGCTCGAGCCTGGCAGAGTTGGCGCGAAGGTGAGTTTCACTGATTTAAATTCGTAATTAGAAATCCAATAAAACTGGAAATTCTTTGGTTTGAAATCAAATTCCTTAATGCCATCATTGTCGTGTGTAATACTAAATTAAATGTGCTTTATGTTGTAGAGATGAAGCAGACGACCAGCCAACTCTTAGGGGCTGCTGCGCCGACTTTAAAAAAAATGTCACACTATGAAATATGGTGTGCCAAGTCTTGGCACACCATATTTCAAAATGTGCCATTTTTTTTGCAGTTCTGATACTCTCTTGAATAGTTCTAGAGCTCTTTACAACAATTTTAAATAGTTCCGGCCATTAAATACAAAAAAAAAGACTTTCAAAAAAAGGTGCGCTAAGTTCTCGCAGCGCACTTAATCAAAAAAACTATTTAAATTAACTATTTCTTTAGAG